GCTTAATAGCTTAGCACTGAATAATATTCAATTTTCTGGATGGACCATAGATTATGTGTCTGTTCACCTACTAAAGGACATCTTATGCTTCTAAGTTTGGGCAATTATGAATAAAACTACTCTCAGTATGTCTGCGGGTTTTTTGTCTGGAGAAATATTTTCAACTCCTTTGGGTAAAATCCAAGGAACTTAAGTAAAATTTTGAATATGATAGAGGTTTTGTGTTTTCTTAAATGAAAGATTAATCTGGAGGCAGTGTGAAACATGATTTGACAAAGTTGGGGAGAAGGCCTAGAATCAAAAAGAGGAAGGAAAAAGGCATTATAGCAAGGTACATAGAAAATGGTGAATACCTGAAACAGGGTGAGAATTAGAAAAAATGAGAACTTGGGACTTTCCTGGTGATCCAGTGGTAAGGACTCAGCACTTCCACGCAGGAGGCACAGGTTCAATCCCTAGTCAGGGAACATGCCTCATGGTATGACCGGGGGGAATAAAAGGAACAGTGAAAAGTATCAGTTGCGTACTGAATTAGATAAAGGGATTAAAGAAGAAAAAGGAAAAAACTGAAGTGCAAAGATGATCCTAAGCTCGGAACCTAATAAAAGAGATACTGGTGGTGAAACTTACTTAATAGAAAAGCCAGTTTATTCTGTTTTGTTTTATTGAGAAGTATGACTCTGATAAAGTCAGTTTTACAGCCTACATTTGACATTCAAGATGAAATATACTTGGCATAGAGTATACCTTATTAAGTGATGAGTCAAAGTTAATCTAATTGGATGATGGTCAGTTAGACTGGTGTATCAAAGAGAAGACACAGAAATACTTGAGAGCATGGATGTAGAAAATTCCCAAAGATGTGAAAAGACCAGGTATTATAAATTTACCACAAGAGAAAAAAAAAATGCCCATCTTACATAAAAAAGAAATTTTGGGAGAGTAATGATCTTTTATCTCAATGATTCTGTTCTAATCATTGAAATAGGAATCAGATTGCTCTGGGCAAAAGTATGTGTTAATGTAATTAGGTGTATACTAGAATTTTAGGAATGAAAAGATCCAATGTTGCTGAGCCCTTGAATTCCAGAGGAAGCTTTGCTTCAGGCTTCACTGGTAATCCTCTTTCCCAATGTTTCTACATAGCAATTTCCATATTGGGCTGTGCTGTTCATGTCCTTTACCTTCTTCAGAATTTCCAAAGAATCCTATTGAATTTTTATGTGACAAAGAAATTTTGCATTGAAAACATGCCTAAGTTTGAGATTTAACAACCCTTTTGCTAAAATTAGACAATGTAGTAATCCTATGATCAGAGACTATACTTGCAAAAATGTAAAGTAACATATTTTACTGAGCCATGAGAAAATAGATTAAAGTACAGTTAGAAAAGAGAGTAGACTGTAATCAAATCACGAAAGTTAAGAAAGTAAAGTATTTTACTTTCATGGGAAGAGTTTTGTTCTTTTCAGTTTGTATATTGTGGGGGAGAACAAAGATAATCATTAGAATCATAAAAATAGATTTTGTAATAGGATTAACAAAGCACAAGCATTTTAAAACAGCTAATTGTTCAAAATCTATATGAAAAATAACACAAATATCAGTAATATTCCTGCAGTCATCAGGAGAATATCTAATTTTGTCATAATTTCAATAAACTCAAGTTAGAAAGATGCTTCCTTTCACCTTCTGATTTTCTTTATATAGTATTTTGAAAATTGATTCAGAATTTTTTTTTTTTGACCAAGCCACTGGCTTCTGTGATTTTAGTTCCCCAACCACAGATTGAATCCAGGATCTATGCAGTAAGAACACAGAGTCCTAACCACTGGACCATGAGGAAATTCCCCAGAACTTTTTGAAAGTAGTCAAAATGCAAAGTCACAATCTTTTGTCACCAGATACTATGTATAACAGACATTCCAATCTTTATCCTTGAATTTTATCTGATCCTTGGCCCCAACCCCTTTCCAAAATTTCATCACAGGATGAGGTTGCGGGATGGTGGTGAGCTGTATATTATACATACTATTGGTAATTTTCTAAACGCAGTGTTAATGGTTAATTTTCTTGGCTGTACATTTTTAGGTGGTCATGTATTCTATGAAGAAACAACCCTGTTCCTCCAGTTTGGCCTTGATTTTGAATTATTTTATGCCAGTGGCAAAATGTTGCATTCCCAGAACTCTTTGGGAGTTATCTTATCAAAACCCTCTACTACTGCAATAACTAGCACATGCTTCTTTTGTAGCAATTACCAAACTACTTTAACTATTTGTCCTTCCCCCCAGTAAACACAAAGTGTTTAATTACTGGATTCTTGTCTATTTTTTTTTTCCCTCTGTAGGGCCTTGTCTTATGCTGGATACAAGTAAATGTTTGATAAATATCTTTAAGGAGAAGAAGGAGGGACAGAGAGAAAAGAAAAGAAGGAAAGAAGTAAGGGAGGGAGGAAGGAAAGAACAAAGGAAAGGAGGAAAGGAGAGAGTGAGGGAGAGAGGGAGGAAAAGGGGGAAAAGGAAAGTGTAAGTCCAATTAAAAAAGGAAGTTTAAAATTTGAACTAGTAACTTTCAAATTCCTTATCACTTAAGTCTTTAGGCATACATGTTTTAATTTTTAAAACAGTATAGTAATGCTACAAAATTGGTTTAAGAAAAATTTTAAATGTAGTTAGAATACTAAGGTATTGTTGCAAATAGTTTCATGTCTTCTCATTCAAAAATGACCTATCTTGTAATACATTATCTCCAGGTTGTCAAAGTGTGGTCTCTGAGGCAGTAATATCAACATCACTAGTCAGCTGATTAGAAATGCAAATTATCATGCCACATCCTAGATCTAGGCTTCAGCAGTACATAAACCTGGGTTTAGAAGTGGCAGGCAAACAAGAGATCAAATTGTCAACATTCGCTGGATCATACAGAAAGCAATATAATTCCAGAAAAACATCTACTTCTGTTTCATTAACTGCACTAAAGCCTTTGTGTGGATCACAACAAACTGTGGAAACTTCTTAAAGAGATTAGAATATAAGACCACCTTACCTGTCTCCTGAGAAACAAGTCAAGAAGAAGCAGTTAGAACCAGATATGGAACAACAGACTAGTTCAAAATTGGGAAAGGAGTATGTCAAGGCTGTATATTGTCACCCTGCTCATTTAACTTCTATGCAGAGTATATCATGCAAAATGCCAGGCTGGATGAATCACAAACTGGAATCAAGAACGCCAGGAGAAATATCAACAGCCTCAGATATGCAGATGATACCACTCTAGTGGCAGAAAACGAAGAAGAATCAAAGAGCCTCTTGATGAGGGTGAAAGAGGAAAGTGAAAAAGCTGGCTTAAAACTCAACTTCAAAAAACTAAGATCATGACATCTAGTCCCATCACTTCATGGAAAAGAGAAGGGGAAAAAGTAGAAACAGTGACAGATTTTATTTTGGCGAGGTGGGGGTGGGGGTCCAAAATCACTGTGAATGCAATCATGAAATTAAAACATGTTTGCTCCTTGGAAGAAAAGCTATGACAGACCTAGATAGCATATCAAAAGCAGAGACATCACCTTGTCACCAAATGTCCATATAGTCAAAGCTATTTTTTTTTCCAGTAGCCATGTAGAGATGTGAGAGTTGGACCAAAAAGAAGGCTGAGTGTCTAAGAATTGATGCTTTTGATCTGTGGTGCTAGAGAAGACTCTTGAGAGTCCCTTGGACTGTAAGGAGATTCAACTAGTCAATCCTAAAGGAAATCAATCCTGAGTATTCATTGAAGGACTGATGTGGAAACTGAAGCTCCAATATTTTGTCCACCTGATGCAAAGAGCCAACTCATTGGAAAAGAACCTGATGCTGGGAAAGATTGAGGACAGGAGGAAAAGAGGGCAACAGAGGATGAGATGGTTGATTAGCATTACCTACTCAGTGGACATGAGTTTGAGCAAACTTCGGAAGATGGGGAAGGACAGGGAGGACTGGCTTGCTGCAGTCCACGGGGTCGAAAAGAGTCAGACTTGACTTGGCAGCTGAACAACAATACTAGATCTTCAGAATCAGAAACAGACGGGCCCAGCCGTCTGCATTTATTTGGCGATGCTGATGCCTCTTAAAGTTTGAGAACCACTGCACAAGTATTCAAAGTTAGTCCTGCTGTTGATGAAGAGGCACCACTCAGACTCAAATGTTTTCAGGTTAGAGAAAAATGATCAAATTATCACTTAAAAAAAAGTACACAGTTTGTTCGGTAAAAAAGATAACCCCATTACATAACTTTTCAGAATACATGGAAATTTAGAAAGACAAGGAAAAACCCTCTAACTCTTCACTTATTAGTCATAAACCCATAAGAGTCTCCTCTTATTTTACGCCCTTTCCCTCACCTAAATGTTCGCTGTAAAAATAAAGTTGTGAAAATAATTAAAAATTTTAAAACATAAAAAACCCCAAGATATGAAATTTGTTTAAAAAAGAAAAGTATAATATTTATTTTTGTAAATCAAAGTCCTCAAGATTTACTCGTAGCAGCCTTCCGAAAGAGGCCATCTAAGAGCACACATTCTGAAATCAGGCAAACATCAGTTCTATTCCAACTCAGTAACTAAACTCAACACGCTCTTCAGCGCCTTTGAGTTTGGTTCGTTATCTGTAAACCCAAATCCTACCAGACTAACAGAGATGCTTGTAAAGTGTTTATCAAATCGCCCGGCGCCGCCGGTACTTTTGCAGACGGAAAAGTCACAGAAAGATTAGCTTGGGAGTCAGCCGTGCAAGGAGGACAGCTGGTTCTCCAAGAGAGAAGCCTTCCTGCTTCTCAAAAAAAAAAAAAAACCTTCCGGCTTTTCAGAGACCAATGGAAGCTCTCCAAAGTAATTCCGAAGGCCTAGGGGAAGGACCTGCCTCTAACAGACGCACTGTCCCTTTAAGAGCCTCCCTCCCTCTACCAGACTCCTGGTTAGGCCTAGGCATAGGCGGAACCGGAAGTTGTAGGGAAGGCGCCGGTCCCCAGCATGGCGGCCGCCTGTCCCTGCAGGCTGATTGCTCCCGAGTCGGCTGCCGCCCGGCTCCTGGGCGTCTTGTGGTTCTTGTCAGTCACCACGGGGCCTTGGGGAGCTGCCGCCGGAGGCGGCGAAGAAACACTTAAGTGCGAGGACCTCAAACTGGGACAATATCCTCTGTGAGGAGCACCCCGTGGGGGTGAGGTAGATTTGGAGTCGAGAGTGGATAGGAAACCTCAGGTCGGGCTAGGGTTGTGCTGAAGGGAACGGTGACCTGTGACCTCTAATGACCGAAGGGGCCTGTGGCGGGGAGTGCGGAGAAATGTGGGGGTGAGAGCACAGAGGCTCGCCTGTGAGATTTCCTTGGGATTTTACTGATCGTTGGCTCTTCTTTTGATCCACCTTTCTTTCTTTCTTTAATTTTTTTAGTCAGTGGGTTTGTTTGTTCAACAAACACGTAGATACTGAAGTTTGTCAGGTCATGTTTTTAAGCATTAGAATTAAGTTAAAAGATAGACCCGATTCTGGAGATTTGCCGATTCTGGGGGAGACAAGGAAGATCCCCTGGAGGAGGGCAGGGCATCTCAATCTCCTTGAAATCCCAGACTGTATTGGGGCAAATTCCTGCTCCCCTTTGTGACCGATTTGAGCTTTGAGCTTGGGGATCGCTAAGAGTCCCACACGACTTAGCGACTGAACAATAAAAATAAACAGTGGTACCAACTGAAAGGTGTGTTGAGCTAAAGTAGGACCAGTAAGTCACTTAGAACAGTGACTGGCACATAGTAGGGGCTATATGTGTTTAGCTCTCATGTGTTTACTGATGAGAAAACTGAGGCTGGAGGAGTTAAATAGATCTGTTCGTTGTCATGGCTCTGATAAAGGGAGGAGGAATATGAAATGGGAGTTACATTCAAGTCAAACTAGGTACTTTTTGTGTAAAATTAGATAATTTCATACAAATTGTAGAACAGAAAAATTAAGAACAGAAGCCAGAGATGCAAGAAAGATTCTATGAGAGGAAATCTTAAAATTAAGAAAATTCTATTGTATTTTTCTTTTATTGTATAGTATTTTTATGTGAGTTGAGAGGCCACCGTTACTAAATTTTTACAGAATAGCTCTAATTTGCTGATTACCATTATGCTAGGAGTTTGAGAATCACTGACCTGGTAAGTTGAGTCTTTTATTTTTTTTTGGCAAAAATGTCACAGTGATTTTTTTTTTCTAATAAAATAATTGGGCAGTATGAAGACTTGTGCTTTAAAAAAATTTTTTTTAATCATTTTTTAAAACTTGAATTAATTTGTATTTTTGGCTGTGCTGGGTCTTTGTTGCTGCTCTCTGGCTTTCTTTAGTTGCGCTGTGAGGGCTTCTCACTGTGGTGCCTTCTCTGGTCATGGAGCGTGGGCTCAAGGTGCAAGGGCTTGGTTGCTCTGCAACATGTGGAATTTTCTTGGACCAGGGATCAAATCCATGTCCCCTGCACTGACAGACAGAATCTTAACCACTGGACTACTAGGAAAGTCTGAGTTGTGCTTTTTGAACCTTAGAAGTGACTGAGCATACAAGATGATGTGAACTGGAAAATGTTATTCCTGGCACAAAGATGAGATTTCCAATAGTGATTCAGAAACCCGAAGCAGGTGTCAAAGTCTGTCTACAGAGACATGTTGTGAATATTTTACTTACCTCATATTTATGTCAATAAAAGATTCAGGGAACAGAAAAGCATCACCCCCTCCGCCTCGTGCCCCGAGTGTTGTAAATATCTGTTAGAGAATCAATATTATATGTTTCCAAAAGCTTAAAACCCTGTTGGGAAGATCCTGTAGACCCACCTAAAATAACCATCTTCCTTGCAGTATGATGGAATTTACCTTTGGCTTGGAATCAGGAAATGTGATATTACTACCTATCACTTAATCCACTTTGCATAAGTCACTCAGAGTGTGAGCCCCCATTTGCTTCAGTAATGCGGAAATAATAGTATCCCATGTCACAGGGCTATTTGTGTTGTATGAAATTATATGTATGGTAATACTTGGGCCCTGTGAATTATTTCATCAGACATCCGGAAACTGATTTTTTTTTTTTTTTTTAACCTGAAGTTCGAGATAATACTTCGGTGGACATTTTTACTTTCATTTTTTCTTTGTGCTTTGTGCTTAAACCCTGACTGATGTTCTTTAAGGATGGCACCCTCTGCTAGAGCTTTTAATGTACTTTTCCTTAAATAAATTAATGTTCAGATACTATTTAGTGACACTGAAAGTGTATCTGTGCTTGTGCTTCTTGACCTGGACAAACTAACATCCTCTCTTTACATGTAATTATAAACATAAATATATGACATATTAAAGACAAGATGATAACGTTTTGTATTGGAATGTTGTTTATATTTCCTTAACTTTTCTACATATATTTGTAAAGATCCAAAAATAAATGATGCTACACAAGAACCAGTTAACTGTACAAACTACACAGCTTATGGTAAGACTTCCAGAAACATGTTTTTTTTTTTTTAATTATTTTTAAAACATTATTTCATAGATGAATGTGTGATTGCTAAAAGTAATTAATAAATGTGTTTTTTCTTGAGTTACTTCATCCTTCTGTTTCCAGAGTAACTTAATATTAGAGAACAGCTACGGGTTGTTAATATTTTTTTAAAAAATCTTATTCTATTAAATAATTATATAAATTGAGAGATTTTTTATTTTCATTCTTTTTTTTAAAGCTTTTGAAATCAGTCTATATAGCTTTCTTGATGCCTTGCATTTATCATGCTGTGTTTTACAAAGATGCCTCTTTAGATTTTTAATTACTTAGAAAGAACTTGAAAGGAGACTTACAGTTCAGTAATGTGCAGCGAGGAGCTGGTAATATATCACCCATATCTTGCACTTGTAAGATATACTTAGGTACATCCTAAGTATGAAAACAGTATGGTAAGGATTTTAAGTGCACATCAGTATTTTATTAGCAAGATGGTTTGATGGTGGATAACACCCTCAACCTAATGATGTGGGGGAGCTTCTGTTATTCCAAAAAGTATTTAATGCCAGATAGATTAATAAGTTGTTTTGTTCAGCCTTTTCTTCTGAAGGGTTATATGTTGGAAAGGAGGTAGATAGATGTATGCTGGAGCTATTTGGATTTGGCATTCATATCTGGCATGGTACATAATTTGGTTAATACCTAGTATTTAATATCTAGTAATATCTACTACTTAATCTAGTATTATCTTGAGAAAAGAGCACTTACTGAATATATACTGATTGTTTTATTGTTTAGATGGGAAATAAGATAATGATTGATGTTTTCTTTATAAATGAAAGCTACTAAACAGACTCATGGAAATGAGATTAAAGTGATTTCTTACTGCAAAAAACTTTGTTTTTATAAAGTATCTTATAGTTAAATAATTGACTTCTTGATTATGACTTGGTATATATTTTAAAAAGATCTCGTCTTTTTATCTCTTCACATCTTGACACTGTTAGCCCCATTCTGATAAGCAAAGAGATTTGAAAGTAAGTTGTGTCCAACTTTTATAGCAGATATTTTGCTGATATTCTGGAGTAATGAAATTTATCATATAAACAGTAATAGGTAATATGTATATATGATTTTTATAGTCAATATTGCTCAATATGTGTACATTTATTTAATTAGGATATGTTAGACTTAAAGGAACTTTGCACATAGTCCCCTCCTTTTTAACTTGCTTTATAAGTATACACTGACTTTCCTGTGTCAGAGTTCAGTCTTTTATAGTGTGCTCTCAGAATGGAGAATATTGTTGACATACATAAAGAAGAATCAGCTTTCAGATATCCAACCACTTATATAGGTTGGAAGTCTTTGAATACTATTGTGACTCGGGTAACATTAAACTAGGAATGAGTCAGCCTGCTATCTCATGCCTTTTCTAGTCTGCAGATTTCCTTGTAGGTATGAAGATTTTGAAGGGAGTTATTCTAAAAAGGATATTTAGAATAAATTTTGAAGGAAATTACAACTAAAAAGAATAGTTTCTGACCAAAAAGAGCTCTGCCCTCGGTTAGGTGTCTCTTTTGTAAAATAAGTTTGAATCCACTTAAGTATTATCACTAAGTAAGTTTATAAACAAATACAAAATCAAATTATCAGATTGCTAGGGAATATAAAAGGACTTAGAGGTGTTATGGTCCTGTCATAGCCTTTCAGGTAAGTAATCATAGATGATGTAAATGGAGAGCTGCAGAGAAATAAAAGGAAGGCTTTCTGTATAAGGGAATACTATGGCTATTTATTTGGAGGGAATAAGCCATAAGTGCCTAACAGTCTGGGAACACATATATAAAATGTTCTAAATCAATAAATAAATGACTTTAGATTGTTATTATGATTTTAAAAAGAAAGTTTCTGAGACAAATATGACTCACCAGGCTTCTACATATGAATGTATAATTTATACATGACCCAAAAGTGTTCAGCCAAGATCTGGGATAGGCTCTACTAGCCTGTCCCTATCAGGAAGCTGTGTTTGTCCACCGGATGCTTTTTTTTTAATTTCCTTTTTAAAACATAAAAAGACTAGTGGAGTGGCTGTGAATTATTTCTGAGTCCTGACCTGCGAGGACATCAAAATGACCCTTGAAACATGCTTCTTCTGTTTTATTCATTGAGCGTATGATGGACTCACAGAATCTTCAGACTAAATTTAATTTTCTTAAGCTATACTTTTTGGTAAGTAATTAGTGGATGGAATGTTTTACAGAGAGGGAAGTTTAGGAGTATAGAGTAAGAATTGGGACCAAAGGCAAAGGAGGTTCAATTATAACAGTAAACTATTGTGGTCTTTAAATGGTTGTCAGTTAGCTCAATACCAGTTAACAAGCATCTTTATTTTTTGAGAAATTGTTGGTAACAAATAGTTTAATAATTAAAATAATTAAATGGATCAAAACAAAAGTGAAAATTTATATTATAAACTGTCTGTTATTGCTGTTCAGTTGTTATGCTTGACTCTGTGACCCCATGGACTGCAGCATGCCAGGCTTTGCTGTCCTTCACCGTCTCCTAGAGTTTGCTCAAACTCATGTCCATTGAGTCTGTGATGCCATCCAGTGATCTCCTCTGTCGCCCCTTTCTCCTCCTGCCCTCAATCTTTCCCAGCATCCGGGTCTTTTCCAATGAGTCAAATCTTCACATCTGGTAGCCAAAGTATGGGAGCTTCAGCTTCAGCTTCAGCTTCAGCGTCAGTGGTTCTAATGAATATTCAGGGTTGCTTTCCTTTAGGATTGACTGGTTTGATCTCCTTGCTGTCCAAGTGACTCTTAAGAGTCTTCTCCAGCACCACAATTCAAAAGCATCAATTCTTTGGCACTCAGCCTTTTTTATGGTCCAACTCTCACATCCATACATGACTACTGGAAAAAAATAGCTTTCACTATTGAGACCTTTGTCAGCAAAGTGATGTCTGTGCTTTTTAATATGCTGTCTAAGTTTGTCATAGCTTTTCTTCCAAGGAGCAAGCATCTTTTAATTTTACTGCAGTCACCATCTGCAGTGATTTTGGAGCCCAGGAATATAAAATATATAACTATTTCAACTTTTTCCCATCTGTTTGCTTGAAGTGATGGGACCGGATGCCATGAACTTTTTGAAGTAGAGTTTTAAGCCAGCTTTTTCACTCTCCTCTTTCACCCTCATCAAAAGGTTCTTTAGTTCTTCCTTGCTTTCTGCCACTAGAGTAGTATCATCTCCATAACTGAGGTGGTTGATACTTCGGGCAACCTTGATTCCAGCTTGTGATTCACCCAGCTGGCATTTCGCATGATGTACTCTGCATAGAAGTTAAATAAGCAGAGTGACAATATACAGCCTTGTCGTACTGTCCCAATTTTGAATCCATCTGTTGTTCAGCGTCTGGTTCTGTTACTTCTTGACTGCATGCAGGTATTTTAGGAGACAGGTAAGGTGGTCTCGTATTCCCATCTTTTTTAGAATTTTCCATAGTTTGTTGTGATCCACACTGTCAAAGGCTTTAGCATAGTCAATGAAGGAGAAGTAGGTCTTTTTCTGGAATTTTGCTTTTTCTATGATCCAGCAGATGTTGGCAATTTGATCTCTGGATACTCTGCTTTTTCTAAACTCAGCTTGTATATCTGGAAGGTTTTGGTTCATGTACTTTTGGAGCCTAGCTAGAAGGATGTTGACCATTACTTTGCAAGCATGTGAAATGAGTGCAGTTGTATGATAGTTTGAACGTTCTTTGGGATTGGAATGAAAACTGACCTTTTCCAGTCCTATGGCCACTGTTGAGTTCTCCATATTTGCTGGCACATTGAGTGCAGCACTTTAACTGCATCATCTTTTAGGACTTGAAATAGCTCAGCTGGAAATCCATCACCCCTATGAGCTTGTTTGTTTTAATGCTTCCTAAGGCCCACTTGACTTCACACTCCAAAATGTCTGAGTAGGCCAGTGACCACACCATTGTGTTTATCCAGGTGATTAAGACTTCTTTGTGAAGTTCTTTGTATTCGTGCCACAATTTCTTAATCACATCTGCTTCTGTTATGTCCTTGTCTTGTGTGTGCTATGCTAAGTCGCTTCAATCAGGTCCAACTTTTTGCAATCCTATGGACTATAGCCCACCAGACTCCTCTGTCCATGAGATTCTCCAGTCAAGAATATTAGAGTTAGTTGCTATTCCATCCTCCAGGGAATCTTCGAAACCTAGGAGTTGAACCTGCATTGGCCAGTAGGTTCTTTACCACTAGCACCACCTGGGAAACACAAAACTATCTATTATTGGGAAAATATTTAATTTATTTAGATGTTATTATATGGCATTCTGCTAAGTGGTAGAGATGATACATAAACAAAAAGACGATTTCTGCCCTCAAGGAGTGTGCTGTCTAGTACATATATATACACATATTGACATATATAGCAAGTGTTTTCAATTTTCTAATCAGTAAAATACAAAAGTATTAAAAACCCATTTCCAGAAATTTTGCTCTGGTCCTTTGACACAGGTCTTTTTTATTAAGATTTTATTGAAATATATTTATGCAAAAGTACACTTAAATATTGTTGTTGTTGTCCAATTGCTCAGTCATATCTGACTCTTTGTGACCCAATGGACTGCAGCATGCCAAGTCCTTCACCATCTCCTGGAGCATGTTCAAACTCCTGTCCACTGAGTCAGTGATGCCATCCAACCATCTCACGTTCTCTGTCATCCCTTTCTCCTGTGTTCAATCTTTCCCAACTTCAGGGTCTTTTCCAGAGAGTCAGTTCTTCTCATCAAGTGGCCAAAGTATTGGAGTTGCAGCTTCAGCATCAATCCTTCCAGTGAATATTCAGGATTGATTTCCTTTAGGATTGACTGGTTGAATCTCCTTGCAGTCCTAGGGACTCTCAAGAGTCTTCTCCAGCACCACATTTCAAAAACATCAATTTTTTGACATTCAGCCTTATTCATGGTCCAGCTCTCACATCAATATATGACTACTGGAAAAACCCCAGTTTTGACTATACGGACCTTTATAGGCAAAGTGATGTCTCTGCTTTTTAATACACTGTCTAGGTTTGTCATAGCTTTTCTTCCAAGTAGTAAATGTCTTTTAATTTTATAACTAGAGTAGAATCCCACACCATTTCCTGTCTAGGTCACTCCTTTTTACTGTTATGAAACTTCATTGATTATTTTGAGTTTAGCTTTTTTGTGCTTGAAAAAATAGTTCTGCTTTATACAATCAAGAAATACTGTCTATCAAGGCTAAGTTGTTCACTCACTCAGTCACGTCCGACTCTTTGTGACCCCATGGTCTGCAGCACGCCAGGCCTCCTGTCCCTCACCATCTCCCGAAGTTTGCCCAAGTTCATGTCCATTGCATCGTTGATGACAAGTTGATGCCATTTAAATCCTAGTCATTGGCCAGAGTCAAACATTTTGCAAGAAAACTGCAAATGGAATAATTTTCAGGATTGTAGCATGTTGCTTAATTTTGTCCACTAGTTAACATTTATGGGTAACTGGCTTCTTAAATCTCACCATACAGACTTATTTTTACTTGTTTCTGAAATCAGTGTAAGCATGGCATTATTGTGGTGTAATGAAACGGGTGTTGATTAAAAGTGATAAATGTTAGTCTAGGACTTAAAGAATATTACCTAGTGTGAGACTTTGGTCAGCTCGTTTAATTTCTTGGAATGTCAATTTTTCTGTTTGTACAAGGAAAAAAATTAAAAGCATATTACTAGTTCTGTCTACATAACAGGTTTTTTTTTTTTAAATAAGGATCAAATGAAGTCACTATAAAATATGTAAAAAAGAATAAATTCTAGGGCTGTAGGCATCCATTGAATTAATTCCATTCTAGAAATTTATCATTCTAGAAATGATAAAATACATTGAAAACTAAAGTTGTCAAAATTTGAGAGTTTGAACAATTAATAGAATCTAACAAAAATTATGATTTATTTGTTTTTCATATTTTTATAAAGCATTTTTACAACTCACCTATATATGGAAGCTTCCCAGGTGGCTCAGTGGTAAAGAATCCGCCTACAATGCAGGAGACGCAGGAGTTTCATGGGTTTGATCCCTGGATCCCTGGAAGATTTCCTGGAAGATGAAATGGCAACCCACTCCACTATTTTTGCCTGGGAAATCCCATGGACAGAGCAACCTGTCGAGCTACAGCCCATGAAGTTACAGAGAGTCAGATATGACTGACAAGCACGCATGCCCACCTCCATAAATATTTAATCTTTCAAAATTTTGTAAAGGAAGCTGTAATCTCAAAAAACAGTGCATTTCTCTAAAGCAAAGTATATTGGACAAAGCCTCTAGGGGAATTATCCTGGGTCCTCAGCAGTGAAAGTCCCAAGTCCTAATCACTGGACCACCTGGGAAAGCTCCACATCAGTCTAATCTCTGCTTCTGTCTTCATACTGCATCCTGTCTGCATGCCTTCACATCATCTTCTGCCTGTGTATGTTCATTTTCCCCTTTTTGAAGGATACCCATCTTACTGCATTAGGGCCCACCCTAATGACCTCATCTTAATTTGGATGCAAAGTTGGATTGCAAACTTAAATTTGCAAAGATGCTATTTCGAAGTAAGGTCACATTCTGAGGTGCTGAGGGTTAGAACTTCAATATATCTTTTTGGGAGAGTGCAATTCAGCCCACAGTATGTCTTTACAATAATCACTTTCCAGATCCTCAGTTGTTTTTTTTTGTGTGTGTGTTTTTTATTTTTTAGTTGAAGGATAATTGCTTTACAGAATTTTGTGGTTTTCTGTCATACATCAGTGAGAATCAGTTTTTATTATATGTGTATTTTTTCCTACAATTAATGTAAAATTTCTGAATTTAAAAGAAGAGCCCTTTCATATTCTTGGTTGGATCATGGTACATATCAAATTGCTGTGTTTAGAGTCCACTGTAAAGAATGCTATAATATTTCAATATTAAGGGCAGCATTTACGGTATGGTGGAAATAAAATTTTTCCCAGCTATTTAAATATATGGTGAAAAATTTTAGATGTCAGTTAAAAATGTGTGAGGGAATATATAGTTTTAAAAAAATTTAGGGAGTGTGTGAGCAAAATTTTTTTAACACAGCTGATCTAGAACATTGTTTTTCAACCTTAGTATTAGTAATGTTTGGGGCTAGATAATTATTGTGAGGAGGCGATCTTGTGCCTTGTAGGAGGTGTAGAAGCATCCTGGCCTCCATCCACTAGATGTCAGTATCATTTTCCCAGTAGTGACAACCAAAAACGTTTCCAGACGTTGCCAAATATCCCCTGAAAGCAAAATTACTTCCTGTCATTCCTCCACCGTTTAAAGAGCATGCTCCTCTCCTGTCACTCGGGGACATAGAGAATGCGTTAGCATTTCAGGTGTTTGTTAATCTCAGTTTTGAGTTGTCTGCTACATGCTCGTGCTTGTGCTCAGCCGCTTACCTGTATCCGACTCTTTGTGACCCCACGGACTGTAGCCCGCCAGGCTTCTCTGTCCACGGAATTCTCCAGGCAAGAATACTGGAGTGGGTTGCCATGCCCTCCTCCAGAGGATCTTCCCAACCCAGGGATGGAACCCGCTTCTCTCATGTCTCCTACATTGGCAGGTGGATTCTTTACCACTGTGTTGCCTGGGAAGCTGTCTGCCATATAGCTCCAGTCAAAAGCATGACCTAAGATGGCAGACCAAGAGATATAACTTAAGGGACGTGATAATAATTGATTAACAAAAATCAGTAAGCTTTATCCCTGTCTCAAGGCAGATGGCCAGACAGCTACATATAAATCATCTGTTGACTTTTGTTGCCCTATCTCTGTCACTCCTAACATTATAAGCCCTTGCTTATATCTGTAGTCAGTGTGAGAAAAGGCTATGTGGAAAACTTTTATTGTTTTGTAAAGGTTCTTATTATTAAGGACCTTCTCTGTTACATTCCTTTACTCTTGTGTCATGTACCAAACCAAGTTCCCACAGTGGTTTAGAGGTGAATTGGTATGCTTTCAGTTATATCACAGTAGCTCTGTAGCTGTTTTTGCCTTACTACCAGGAGCCTCTAAGCTACATTTGTGGTTAATTACACTGTCTTCCTTTAGTTGTTTCCTAGGATAATTATTTCTTCACTCTCTCTTCCTTTCATTTTATTACCTTCCTTCTTGTCTAAATGGTTCTGTTTTACTGAATCTGTGCTTTTTAGCATAAGCACCTTCTTGTGTTGGAAATGTAAATACATTAAATAAGTAAAGTTTATGGGACGGTATAGTTTGAACTATCAGTAACACAACCAAAGAGTGCAAAATCATTACAGGGTATTTTTCCTAGCATCATTCTCTCAATGTACTGCTGCTGCTAAGTCACTTCAGTCATGTCCAACTCTGTGAGACCCCATAGACAGCAGCCCACCAGGCTCCCCCGTCCCTGGGATTCTCCAGGCAAGAACACTGGAGTGGGTTGCCATTTCCTTCTCCAATGTGTGAAAGTGAAAAGTGAAAGTGAAGTCGCTCAGTCGTGTCCGACTCTTAGCAACCCCATGGACCTACCAGGCTCCTCCATCCATGGGATTTTCCAGGCAGAGTACTGAAGTGGGGTGCCGTTGCCTTCTCCATCTCAATGTACTACCCTGGCCTAAAAAAGGACAGTGATTTGTTGGAAATCTTAAGGTAATTATAAAGTAGACAGAAAATAAATACCATTTATTTTTCTTTCATAATAAAAGACTGGGGTCTATGTGGGGGTTTTTTTTTTTTTTTTAGTTTATTATAGCAAGTTCTATTTTCATTTTCTCAAAAAATTGTAATCATTGATGTTAAGCATAGAGATAAGCATTTACTGAAACTAGCCTAAAGGTACTAAAAGGTATTAGTACCTTTTAGTCACAAATGGTGAAGGAGTGAAAAATACTAACATTTATTGATTGCCTACTAAGTGCTCTGCTTTATGCTAGATCATTTATATCACATTTAATCCCCACAGTAATCTTATGATCTTAGTGCTACTTTTATCTACATGGAATCCAAGTTTCTGAAAGAGGCAATGTACAGATAGGTGATTCTCATTCCAAAGTTCTTACTTTATATGATGAGGCCATAAAAGCTTCAGGACAGTACCTGCTTTGCTCTGTAAGTGTTACTTCCTCTTATTAAGTCATCTGGGTTATGAATAAAGATTAAATTGCTAAATGCTGAGATAACATACTACATCAAATCCTAGAGGGAATGGAGAAGCAAACCCATTTAGAAGAAATAAAAAGTTATTTAGAATAAAGAAGAATCTTAGTTTATTGTAGGTATCATCTATAAGAATTTTATAAACTGAAAATACAAAATCAGATTATGTTTTATGTAATGAATTGCCTGATGAGTTACCAACAAAAAATTCGAGAAGTATTCTTCACCATAGAGATGAAGTAAAGGACAGTAATATTATGCAATTCTTCTTTGGTCATCTTTGTCAGGGGCAGAAGATTGAACATTATCTTATCTTGTACATGAATATATATAATATAGCTTTTCCTATCCAAATTAAAATCTCATATCATATCTTATATTGGGAGGTGGTTGGTTTGAACATTAGATTTCCTTGTGTGCATTGCTAGCCTTAGGAAAAAAGCATAATTACATAATTTTCCACAGGAAAAAGAAATAATGGATTCTCGCTTTTTTCTGCCTTTAGTACAGTGTTTTCCAGCACCCAACATAACTTGTAAGGATTTTGGTGGCAATGAAACACATTTTACTGGAAACGAAGTTGGTTTTCTCAAGCCTATATCTTGCCGAAATGTGTAAGTATATTACTGAAGCTAAATTTTCTGATTTACATGCCTGAGTTAAATCTCAGCTGAGTGGAATGAAGAGTAGAGTTAATTTATAAGGAGAATCCTGCACTAATACAAACTTTTATCTTTTTGCTTTTGTCAGAAAACCTCTATTTTAAGTGTGTGTATTGTTTTAAAAATGCAGTTTACCAACAAAGTATAGTAGTTCACTGTATGGGATAAATAGACTGAGTGGCTTCAGGCCATGTCAGTTCAGTCAGTTTATACTACCAAATGGGTTATGAAAAAATTCTGTTTTCAAAATGTGGGGACTTTCTTGAGTGCAAATAAGGGACTGCATACCTACAGTATTAAAAGAATGCTAATTAGTAATCATTTGCATTTTGAAACTTGGTTTCATTCTTTGTAATTGCTTTGGATAATGAATGATAATGTTAAACAATTCAGAAGTTAGTTTTTTTATATTAAGACAAATGACTTTGTTTTGTTGGAAATATTCTTAGCTTAAAGATATTTAAAGTTTGCTGTTTATTTTTGCTGCAGTATAGCTGACAGTTTATTCTTATATTTCTACTTTGTTCTGAAAGCATGATTTAGTTTCACCTATTTTTATTAATTCCTGGGATTGTATTTTTACTTTTTTACTGTATGTTGTTGCATTTTATATAATGGTACCTATTTTGCAGTTGTATAAATAAAGGCCACTATTTGTTTCTACAGGTTCCATTAGAATTCTTAGAAATTACTACTAGAGTCTTTTTTCTTTTCTTTTGACCCTACTTTACAAAGTTAATGAGGAGCTTTAGATTCTGTCTTGCTGTGTAATCCAATCACTTAAGCTTCTTGGGTTCTAAGATTTCTCATTAGTAAAATAATAATTGTTAAGAGGAATTATTTTCAAAGTACTTAGATATGGTTTAGTCAGTTTTTAAATTTATAGGTTGATACTTCCAAATGACAAATAATTTGTTAAGTGTTGGTGGTCCAAGAAAACATTTGTTAAGAACCACTCAGGTTGGACACTGCAGATTCATTTTACTTGTAATGTTCACATCACAATGATCTGCCACTTAATTTCCAAGTTAACTCTGATTTTTCTTTTAATGTCTCTGAGTAGATTAGACTGAATGCAACTGAGCTATACTAATCATGCTCACAAGACATTCATGTCAATTGTGATAAGAAATATAATTATCAAGGAAACTAGATACTCCAAGCCTACTGGTCAACTTTTTTCTCTCCTATAGTAAAGTCCAAAATTCCAAAATAGGATTTGCTGGATGAGCATTGAATCAGAACAAAAGGAATTAGGTTGATGGATAATTTTAATGATGAATCACAAAAGTAAGATAACCTAATACATTACTTTTCCTCTATCAGAATATTCAGTATGTGCCTTTCAAACAACCACCTGCTGGTCAGCTACTGAAGACTCACTGACAAATTGTTAATTCATTGAGTGTTCCCTTTTCCAGTTTACATATTTTCCTCCTCCTGTTGGCATATCCTTTCATAATATTGATACTTGATTAAAACTCCATCTTAATATTCACAGATGTGGCCATTCCATAAGGTATTCTTTAGCAACTGAAGTCTGTTAACTATGTCTAATCAGTTACCAAGTCACACCTGTTTATACTGCCCATCTACATTATTTGGAGCAACCTAACTGTTTTAACAGATGCCTTTAGAATTTTAGTGGCTTAACCCAATAAATTTTATTTCTCACTCATATCATAATCCAATTTGTGTTGGTTTGGAGGTCTGCATGGGGTAAAGGAAGTGATAGTTGCTCCATGCAGACATGCAGGGGTCTTGTACCTTTCATCTTGTGACTTTACTTCCTCTAGTCCTTGGAGTCTTTTCCATTCAGCTAACAGATGGAGAGAGGAGATGGAGCACCTATAGACATGTTTTATGGACCAGACATGGCGTACATGATGGCTTACATCACTTCTGTCCCCATTCCATTGGCCAGAACTAAGTGATGGCTGCATTTAACCGCAAAGTGAGCTAGAATATTAATACATAGGCATACCTCAGAGATATCATGAGTTTGGTTGCAGATCAGTGCAATAAAGCAAGTTACATGAATCTTCTGGTTTCCCTGTGTATATAAAAGTTATGTTTATACTATGTGTAGTCTATTAAGTGTGCAATAACATTGTGTCCAAAAAACCGTACCTTAATTTAAAAATAATGCTGTTGGAAAAATGTCACTGACAGACTTGCCTGGTGAAGGGTTGATCCAGACCTTCAATTTGTAAAAAAACAGCTCAGTATATCCGTAAAGTGCACTAACACAAAGCACAGCAAAACAGGTTCCGCGTGTAGTGTGGCTGCATGTCTGTGAGAAAAAGCAGCATGATTTGATGAGCAGTTAGGTACATCTCTGCTGCACCACCAGTTTTTAGATTATTCTTCAGGGTGATTTATTTATATCGATCCCTGCTTTTCTAATTTCATTCCCCTTACTAGCCAAGCTTGTTGAGGGGCTTGTTTCTATAATATTTATTTTTTATGAATTTTTAGTCTAATGCAGCATGGCTTTTGGCCATACTAAAATTCACCAGCGATCTTTGTTACTATATCAAATGGATATTTATAGTCTGTATCTTAATCCTTCTACAGCATTTGGTATTCCTTTTTCTTAAAATACGTTCTTTCCTTGACTTACAGTATAAAACACACTTCAATTTCCTTTGATTCCTATTCTTTTCCTTCTTTCTTATATCTTGATATTCCCAAGATTATGTCTTTGGTCCTTTTCTCATCTTCATTCATCCACCCCTTTGGTTTCTCAGACCATCTTTATATAAAGATCCCAAACTAAATCTATTGTCTCTTCCTTCAATCATTTCCTCCTTTGTATTAGTGAATGCAGCTGTTCTATCGAGTTACTTAAGCAGAAACTTTGGAGTCGTTCTCCAAAGAATGACTCATTCCCTACATTTAGTCTGGCTGCTTCTGCCTTCAGTATTTCCCAGTTTTGTTTCCTTTTCTCTTCCACTGCTAGTAGCCAGTAGATTATCACTTGAGTTTCTACCAAGCCTCCCAGTTTATTTCTCTACTGCTATTCTGGTGATCCATTTCAATGTAGAGGGGACACTACTGCCATCACTGCAAAATCTGACATCCTTGTAATATTAGATGTATAGACAGGATCTCTAGGCTGTTTACTGTCTCCCCCAACTCCCTGAGAATGTCTTAATTGTGAGTGCAGTGCAAAAAATAGGATTATAAGCAGGAGACATGATCAGATTTGACTTTAATATGACGATTCCAACTACCTCTTTATTTCTTTACTCTTATTTGTAGGAACTCCTTGAAAGGATCATCTAATAATTCTTTTCTTTAGTTTTTTTCCAATTTTTTTTATTGAGTTAACATTGGTCTGTAACATGTTTTATGTATACATTATAATTCAACTTCTATATATACTACAGGCTGTTTGCCACCAAGTCTAGTTCCCATCCATCGTCATGCAGTTGATCCCCTTTACTCATTTCATCCACCTCCCACCTGCCTTCACCTCTGGGGACTACCAGTATCTTCTGTTTCAGTGTGTTTATTTTCATGTTATTTTTTATTGTTCATTTACTGATTTTTTGTATGTGCCACATATGAGCAAAATGGGCATCCCTGATGGCTCAGCGGGTAAAGAGTCCCCCTACAGTGCAGGAGACACAGAAGGCATGGGTTGAATCCCTGAGTCAGGAAGATCCCCTAAAGGAGGCAATGGCAGCCCACTCCAGTATTCTTGCCTGGAAAATCCCATGGCCAGAGGAGACTGGTGGGCTACAGTCCATGGGGTCACAAAGAGTCGGACATAGCTGAGCATGAGCATGCACTATGTCCCATTGTCTCTGCAAGGCTCAGGCCCGGCCATGAGCGAAATCATATGATATTTGTCTTTCTCTATCTCACTTCTTTCACTTAACACAATGCCCCCAAGATCTGTCCATATTGTCACAAATGGCAAGATTTTTTTTTTTAGTGAATGAGTAGTAGTCTTGTATGTTTATATATGTGTGTATATCTTTTTTATCCATTCATTCACCAGTGGCCTTAGGTTGTTTCCACATCTTGGCTATTGTTAATAATGCTGCTGTGAACATTGGAATGCATATATATTTTTGAATTAGTATTTCCTTATTCTTTGGATGAATACCCAGAAGTGGAATAGCTAGATCATATGGTAATTTTATTCTTAATTTTTTGAGGAATCTCCATACTGTTTTTCATAGTGGCTGCTACAAATTACTTTTCCACCAACAATGCATGAGTATTCCCTTTTTCTCCACAGCCTTTCCAACATCTCGTTTTTTCTTGTTTTTATGATAATAGCCATTCTAATGTGTGAGGTGATAACCTCATTGTGGTTTTAATTTGCATCTCTCTGATGATTTGTGATATTGAACATCTTCTTTCGAGTGCCTATTAGCCATGTCTTAAATGGAAAATTGTTCAGATCATATGCCCATTTTTAAATCAGGTTGTTTGTTTCGTTGTAATTGAGTTGTATGATAAGAATTGCACTGAATCTGTAGATTCTATTAGGTAATTTGTATTTTAGCAATGTTAATTCTTCCAATTCATGAGCATGGGATATTTTTACATTTCTTTGTGTTTTCTTCAGTTAATTTCAATAATGTCCTGTAGTTTTCAGTGTCCAGGTCTTTCATTTCCTTGGTTAAATTTATTCCTAGGTATTCCATTCTTTTTGTTGCAATTGTAAATGGGATTTTTTAAACTTCTTTTTCTTCTAGTTGTTAATGTATAAAAGAGCATATTTTTGTATATTGATTTTCTACCTTGCTGTTTTACTGTATTTATTTCTAATAATTTTTTTTTGCAGAATGTTTAGGGTTTTCTGTATATAAAATTGTGTCATCCACAAACAGTGACAGCTTTACTTCTTCCTTACCAATATGGTTGTCTTTTATTTCTTTTTCTTGCCTAATTGCTCTGGCTATGAATTCCAGTATTATGTTGAATAAGAGTGT